AATAAAAAATTATTATTCATCATTTATTTAACAGTACAATGTAAAACTGACTGATTGGCTATCAAATGTACCTTTCAAGTTTTAAACTGTGAAACAATTTGACCACGCCTTTTTATTAGTAACTTGGTCAACTGCTCATAAACAGTATCGCATGTATTCATATGTGATATCACATGTGTTCATATATGTTATCCCTAGGGGTGTGGATCGTCGGGTAAGTGATGATCCGATCTGATCCATAATTCAGCACATGCGATTCATCACAAATCGAACCACGAATCTTTTGGTTATCAAGACACCCATAAAAACATGAACATTAGTTTTGAAAACATATTAAGTTTTCTTAAAACAATACTAAACATTAATTTAATTATTCATTAAACATATTATATGCAATGCAAATATAAACTAGGTTGAAAAAGAGTCGCTCCAATATAAAATTCCACCAGCAAAATTTTCTTTCAATGAAAATGAGGAATAAGCAGTTTGTAAAACATGCCATGGCAAATTGACTTATAGAGGTGGTACAACAAACTTGTCTAATCACATGAAAAGACAAGTATTTCCAAAAATTGAAAGTAAATTTTGCTGGTGGGATTTTTATATTGGCGCGACTCTTTTTCAGCCAATACATGTACTGTTATGTCACACTGACGTATTAACTAGCGTTTTTCCTAAAAATAAAACAATACATGTCACGTCATTATAGATCTATACATAGCGACTAAAAATATTTATTTATTTTCATTTAAAAACAAGTGCTCAATAAAGATAAAGTGATTCCTTTTTCAAAACTAATGACTTCCTAGCTCAGCATCATGGTACATGTTTGTTTACTTCCTGTCTTTAAAGAGCAAATTGTATTTAGGTAATCGTTGCATAATTCATAGTGTAAAAAGCAGCGAATGTATAATAAACAAATAAAACTGCAATCCACGATACGTGGACTGACGAATATTCGTACTCGATTTTTCATTTTGATTCGTGATTATCCGAGTACTCGAATACTCGCCCCAGCCCTAGTTATCCCACTGTAGTAATTGGATAGCCAGTTACCAATTTTGTGTTAGCATAAAACTTCACTGGATAGGTCCATTGCTACACATGTATGGATCAAACATTTGGTGCAATCATAGGAAGGCACAAAACAGTTTGTCTTTAAAGTTTTTACTATTCTAGCGTTTTACAGCGCTTATTATTAAAAGCTCTTATGGCGGGAGTTCCTAAAAAGAAAGATATGGAAGCTTTATTAAAGATGGAGTAATAACTATTAGATACCTTTCTCGCAGTTTTCACCAGAAAATCCTGGCGGACATTCACATGTATAGTCCAGCAGTTCCAGCACACATATCCCTTCATTCAAACAAGGGTTGGGTGAGCAACTGTCTACAATAAAAGCCATTTTATCAATTTATAGATTTTCGAAAAAATAAACCCAACAACATCAAACAGCAAATTTGGTAGAATCATAGGAGGGCATAAAACAGTTTGTCTTTAAAGATAACACTTTTCTAGCGTTTAACAGCGCTCATTATTAAAAAGCTCTTTTCACAGTAATTCTTGAAAAAGAAAGCTATTGTAGCTTTAATGAAAATTGGGTATTATTTGTTAGATACCTTTCTCACAGTTTTCACCAGAAAACCCAGGCGGACATTCACATGTATAGTTCACCAGTTCCTGTACACATTTTCCTTCATTTAAACAGGGGTTGGGTGAACAACTGTCTGCAATAAAGGCCATTTTATCAATTTATAAATTTTGGAAAAAAAGCAAACAAGAATTTCAAACAGCAAACAAATTTATTTCGACCATTACTTGAGTGAATCTATGGAAATTAATCTACGGAGCTGTATATCTGTTTCAAAGAAACTCCGCTGAGGTATATAAAATTTGAAATTCTTACAAAGATTAAATTTTGGTATCTACTACGGCAAAATAAAATAAATAAATAAAACAATAAACAAGAATCGGTTGAACCGGGTGATGCTCACCAAGAAGGTTTTGGACACAGGAAAGTATAAAAAAATGAACAAAGGGCAAAAACTCAAAAAATAGTCAAGGCAGAGTTATGTTGTTTTTTTCACAAGCACTGCACTTCTATTCAATGAGATCTATCTATCTCTAAAGTTTCGTAATGATATTTCCTATAATTTCAGAGTTATGTATCGGGTAAAATTCAGAGTGTTAAAATGAACCAAGGACGATAACTCCAAAATTATAAAAGGCTGTGTTTAGGTTCTATAACATTGCAGTTCTATTCAATGAGATCTATCTACTTGGACAGTTTCATGCTGATATCTTTTACAGTTTTAGATTTATGTCCCAGACAAAATAAAAAAAACGAAGGGCAATAACTTGTGTAAGGCAGAGTTATGGATTTTAAGTACTACACGTCTACTTAATAACATGTGTTCCTATGTGTTATCCCGTTGTAGCAATTGGATAGCCAGTTACCCATTCTTTCTGACATAAAGCTTCACATGATAGGTCCATTGCTACATATGAAGGGACCAAACATTTGGTGGAATCATAGTAGGGCATAACCCAGCTTGTTTTCAAAGTTTATACAATTCTAGCGTTTAACAGTGCTTATTATAAAAATCACTTTTGGCAGTAGTTCCTGTAAAACAAGGCTATTGTAGCTTCATTAAAGATGGGATTATAACTGTTAGATACCTTTCTCGCAGTTTTCACCAGAAAATCCTGGCGGACATTCACATGTATAGTTCAACAGTTCCTGCACACATGTCCCGTTCTTCAAACAGTTTTCATCAGAAAACCCTGACAGACATTCACATGTATTGTTCCGCAGTTCCTGTACACATGTCCCGTTATTCAAACAGTTTTCACCAGAAAATCCTGGCAGACATTCACATGTAAAGTTCTGCAGTTCCTGCACACATGTCCCGTTATTCAAACATGGGTTGGGAGAGCAACTGTCTACAATAAAGGCCACTTTATCAATTCATAAACTTTTGAAAAATATATCTCATCAAACAGCAAACAAATTTTATTCGACCATTACTTGAGTGATTTGTATTGAAATTAATCTACGGAGCTGTATATCTGTATCAAAGGAACTCCGCTAAGGTATATAAAATTGAAATTCTTACAAAGATTAAATTTTGGTATCTATTACGGCAAAACCACACTACAAAAAATAATAATAATGATTAATTCACTAAATTATTCAATATGTAAAACATTTTATATGACGCCTAGAGGCTAAGCTCGATTTACGTTAAAAAAAATTAACACTAATATTTTTTTATATGTCGTTCGTCTTGCACAATTAAAGTTATTATTCATCATTTATTACATAAATATTATTACATAAATAAGGATAAATAATGTTTTGTTCCATCATGTTAAAAATGATAAATAAATAAATAATAAATAAGTAAATAAATAAATAAATAAGTAAATAAATGGATGGATGGGTGGATTATGTTTGTAAATTTTTTATTAAAGTGTAGCATATCAAAACGATATTAATTACTTGCATTTGAAATATTACCATACCCGTTATTCTGAAAAAGGCATGAGTAAATGTAAACGTACATCGGAATGGAGTTTCCCATTATTTTCTTTAACAGTACAATGTAATTTGACTGATTGGTTATCCATTGGTTCTTTCATGTTTTTAAACTGCGAAAATATTTGACGCCGACTTTTATATAAGTTACTAGGTCAACTGCTAACAAACAGTATAACGTGTGTTCCTATGTGTTATCAGATGTGTTCCTTTGTGTTATCACATGTGTCTGTATGTGTTATCAGATGTGTTCATATGTGTTATCACGTGTGTTTATATGTGTTATCACATGTCTTCATATGTGTTATCACTTGGTTCCTATGCGTAATCCCACTTTAGCAATTGGATAGCCAGTTACACTTCACTGAATAGGTTCATTGCTACACATGTAGGGACCAAACATTTGGTAGAATGGAGGGCATAAAACAGCTTGTCTTTAAAGTTAATGCTATTCTAGCGTTTAACAGCGGTTATTATTAAAAGCTTTTTTGGCAGTAGTTCCTGAAAAAGAAAGCTATTGTAGCTTCATTAAAGATGGGATGATAACTGTTAAATACCTTTCTCGCAGTTTTCACCTAAAAATCCTGGCGGACATTTACATGTATAGTTAACATTTTCCTGTACACATGTCCCGCTATTCAAACATGGGTTGGGTGAACAAACGTCTACAATAAATGCCATTTTATAAATTTATAAATTTTTGAAAAAGCAAAATAAATAAATACAAAAATAAACATCCAACAAATTTTATTCGACCATTACTTGACTGATGTTTATTGAAATCAATCTACGGAGCTGTATATCTGTATCAAATATGTTCCTATGTGTTATCACTTTTTCCCTATGTGTTATCCCACTGTAACATGCAATTGGATAGTCAGTAACCAATTCTTTCCTGCAAAACAAACTGCACTGGATAGGCCCATTGCTACATGTGTAGGGACCAACATTTGGAGAAATCGTAGGAGGACATCAAACTGCTTGTCTTTAAAGTTAACACTTTTCTAGCGTTTAACATCGCTTATTATTCAAAGCTCTTTTGACAGTAATTCCTGAAAAAGAAAGCTATTTTAGCTTAATTAAAGATGGGATAATAACTCTTAGATACCTTTCTCGCACTTTTCACCAGAAAATCCTGGCGGACACCCACATGTATAGTCCACCAGTTCTTGCACACATGTCCCGCTATTCAAACATGGGTTGGGTGAACAAATGTCTACAATAAAGGCCATTTTATCAATTCATAATTTTTTGAGAAAAAGAGAAAGAAAAAAGATCCAACAACTTTTTTTCGACAATTACTTTACTGATGTTTATTGAAGTTAATCTACGGAGCGTTATATCTGTTTCAAAGGAATTTCGCTGAAGTCTATAAAATGTGAAATTCTTACAAGATTAAATTTCAGCATCTACTACTGCAAAACTACACAACAAATAATAATAATGATTTATACACAAAATCAACCAATATGTTAAACAAATTGTATGTGAAACCTTTAGGCTAAGCTCAATTTGAGTCAAAAAGTTTAAACGCTTATTTTTCTTTTATTTGTTTTTCGCCTTGCACAATTGAAATCATTATTTATCGGATGGATGGATTGATTATGTTTGTCAATTTAGAGATTTTTAGAAAAGAGTAGCTTATTAAAACTATATTATGAAAGATGGGGTAAAAACCGTAAGATACCTTTCTCGCAGTTTTCACCAGAAAATCCTGGCGGACATTTACACGTATAGTTCACCAGTTCCTGCACACATTTCCCTTCATTCAAACATGGGTTGGGTGAACAACTGTCTACAATGAATGCCATTTTATCAATTTATAACTTTTTGAAATACAAAAAAAACAAAAAAAAAACATCAAACAAATAAATTTTATTCAACCATTACTCGACTGATGTGTATTAAAATTCATCTGCGAACCTGCATATCAGTTTCAAAGGAACTCCGCTGAGGTATATAAAATGTTAAATTCTTACAAATAATAAATGTTGGTATCTACTACGACAAAATTACATAACAAATAATAATACAATGAATAATCACAAAATCGATCAATATGTAATACATTTCTATGTGAAACCTATAGGCTAAGCTCGATTTGAGTTAAAACTTTAACGCTTATTTTGTATATGTCGCTTGTCTTGCACAATTAAAATTTTTATTAATCGGATGGATGGATGAATAAATGGATAGATGGTTGGATTATGTTTGTCAATTAAGAGATTTTTATTAATGTGTAGCTTATCAAAACGATATAAACTACTTGCATTTAGGATACTACCATACTCGTTATTCTGAAAAAGGCATGAGTTAATTTAAACGTATATCGTAATGGAGTTTCCCAGTATTTTCTTCTACAGTACAATGTAATTTGACTGATTGGCTATCCAATGGTTCTTTCATGATTTTAAACTGCGAAAATATTTGACGCCGCCTTTTATATTAGTGACTAGGTCAACTGCTAACAAACAGTATCACGTGTGTTCCTATATGTTATCACATGTGTTCCTATGTGTTATCACATGTGTCTCTATGTGTATCACGTGTGTTTATATGTGTTATCACATGTGTTCATATGTGTTATCACGTGTGTTCCTATGTGTTATCCATCTTTAGCAATTGGATAGCCAGTTACACTGCACTGGATAGGTTCATTGCTACACATGTAGGAACCAAACATTTGGTGGAATCTTAGAAAAACATAAAACAGTTTGTCTTTAAAGTTTTTACTATTCTAGCGTTTATTAGCGCTTATAATTAAAAGCTCTTTTGACAGTAGTTCCTGAAAATGAAAGCTATTGTAGTTTCATTAAAGATGGGATAATAACTGTTAGATATCTTTCTCGCAGTTTTCACCAAAAAATCCTGGCGGACATTCACATTTATAGTTCATTAGTTCCTGCACACATGTCCCCTTATTCAAACATGGGCTGGGTGTACAACTATCTACAATAAATACAATATATCAATTTATAAATTTTTGAAAAAGGTCTATAATATGTAAAATTCTGATAAAGATTAATTTTTGGTTTCTACTACGACAAAACTACACAATAAATCTTCTACAATTTGACAATTATCTTCACAAATTTTACCAGTTCTTTCGCAGATGAAGCAATGTTTTCTTTCACACGGGATATCGTTCCATTTGTACCAGTCACTGGTATACTGCCCACATCGACCGTCGCCATCTGGTTGATTTACATACCACCGACTGTAATGTACAGAGTTCCCACTGGTGTTCCATTTCCATGTATTATCAGAATTTAGTCTGTTTAAACCAATGTAATAGTAGCCTGAAAACAATTAATTTGGCATTCAAGGAGGACACAGACAAAATTTTCATTTCTTCGGTTTGAATTTTCATTCATTACTCTATTAATGTTCTCAAAATGAGTACACTAGGCAGTCATAGGAACAAAGCTTTCCTCCTTATAAAGAATAAAATGGTGGTTTCCTACCTTGACCCAAGTGGGTCATGGTAGAGCGTTAAGATTTCGTAACAATTCGTCAAAGTGAACTCTGGAAACATTAGATAACACGATAAATGATTAACTTAGACTCGTTATATTGTTACATTGTACAGTTCAACTTCATAAATTCCTGATTTATTATTCGGGAATTCACAATTTTAACTCCGTTAATTTACAATTTCAACTTCATGAATCCACGTTTTCAAGATATGAAATGCACCATTTCAGCTTTATGAATTCCGGTTCCGTCTTCGTGAATGTACAGTGTCAATAGTGTTAATTCACGTTTTCAACTTCACGAATTCCCGATTTCATACTCCTTAATTCACAATTTTAAACTCATGAATTAACTTTTCCAGCATACAAAATTCACGAATTCACGATTTCTACCTTTAAACTTCCTTAATTCACAAATTTAACTTCGAAAATTCAATTTTTCTTTACAAACGGAATTCACGGATTCACGATTTCAACTTCGTGAATTCACGATTTCAACATCACGAATTCATGAGTCCGTCACACCCATTTCAAAAACTGACCAATAATTTGAAAGTGAATAAAATATTTTGACTTTTCACAAACCGTGTCCATTAATTACTAAAGCTATTTTGAACCAATAAAAAGAAATATAAACATATACTTATTTCTAAAGAACAATTTGGTATATCATTCTTATTTCGTTGTTTCTTTGTGATTGCAACTGGGTTTTAAATGTTTAAAACGATTAACATTTTATCAAGATTTTTTCTCAAATGCAAAAAATGGAATAAATAATAATAATAATGATAATATCATATTGTTGTTGACAATTTCTAACAGCATTGTTTTCACATAACATTTAGCATTTATATGATTACATCTAAAACAGATCTTATTGTACAATTAGAGCAGCACGCCTCCAGATAATGTTAATTTTCATGAAAATTTTGGAAATATATTAAAAAGTAAAATGGTGTGAGGTGAACAAATAAAGTTGACATATTATATTAATTATTTATATTTACATTTTGCAATCGGCACTTGCAATACATGAAAATTACCAAAAAGTGGTCCATATATGCAAAAACAGCCCGTACAGCGTTAGGAACGCAGTAGAAATATGGTGATAAAATACTGCAGAATCAGTCTGAAACCGTATATAACATGTACAATATCACTTGGATCTTCAATAATTTTACATTTCCTAAAATGTTAGTATGTTTTTCTCAATATTGATCTTTTTTTAAAAATATTTTGGCACATCTGAAGGCGTGCAGCTTTAACAGGAACTTCCTTAGGCGAAGTGAATTATTAGTCGTTCGTGCATAAGAAAATTATAAATTTAAAATAAATTATGGCAAAATGTAAACTTATTTTCACTTTCTCACACACTATATAATGTTGGATATGCATAATATCACGTTAAAAGCAGCGGAAGTGATTTAAGCATCTAGTTAAAAGACACTTACAATCGTATCCAGCATCAGAAGCAATTTTTTGCAGGAACCTGTTTTCAATATCACTTTCTACCTCTGCCAGATAACTGCTCCTCTCCAAACACCATTTCTTCGTAAAGAAGAAAACATAAACACTACATTCCTTTAATTATCCTGTTACACAATTTTTTTATGGTTTTAAATCATAAATATGATGCTCAAGTTAGATTTATCAATATTGTAGTTTCCAAAAAACAATATTTATAAAGATATTACCAAATTTAACATCTCATGTAAATAAATAAATGGAGGTAATTAGATATTTACTTTTTACAAAGTTTAAATCAAATTTTTCAATAAAAATGAATGCATATATTTCAATAATTACAAATATTTGCAGTACATATTTTACATATTCTTCGTTGTTTGATGATTAATTTATTTGCATAATTATTTTAGATATATATAATTTCACTTAGTGTGGTTAACCACTTTGATCACAACATACAGGATCTGTAATTACTTTCCTTACAGGGTGTATAGTTATGAACTTCTATTACAAAGAACCAAGCAGACTTCAGCGATAATATCTTTGACACAGAAAAGCAAACTGCATTAACAATAAGGTAAATTTAGACTTTGCAAGTACATAAACTTCTTACGGATCTATATTAAGAAAAAAAATATACCAGCTTCATTAGTACGTTCATGTTCCTAAAAAAAATGAAATAAATACAAACTGTGAAGTAAACAACATAAGTAATTTACACATCGCAAACGGCACTTTTAATACACATGATTTAAATAAAGCGTTTAATTAGAAATGCAAATAAGTCCTGACTGCGTTAGTCACGTAGTAGAAATATGGTGATAGAATACTGCAACAAAATATAACACAATTATTCTTACCCTAGCATCTGTCCAGTTCAGTTTGTTTTTATTTAGATAATAACAGGAACTATATTGTCCCCTCCAGCCTGTTTCACAGTCTCCTGAAATATGTTAGAATACTCTTAACTTCCGGTTTGCTTCTATTTTGTTAAAGCAGCATGCCACCAGACTCATTTTCATTAATCATTTTTAGAAAATGTAGATTCTATTCAAAAATATTTTGAAGTTGAAGTGAAATAGGATATTAATTTCAAAAATAGTTAAAACAAGCAGTAAGTAACACAGTAAAACAATTAGTGACCGCTGCATTATCAGTCCTTAATCGCACATTACGAGATATGTCAATTATTGCTTAAATTTTAGATTGTTTTTTTTTTTATTTTTCATACACTCTTAGCAGATTCTTATTTCAATCCATTTTGATCATGATTGGTGTTCTTGAAAAGATTTGGCTCATCTGTAGGCATGTAACTTAAAAAAACCTTTAGTAACATACATCATATTTGAACACAAAAACCTCCTTCAACTGATATCTTATAATTGTGTAGTTTTATTTAAAAATTGTTCAGTCCATTTTAGATTATTTTCCGGACATACTGGTGTCGTTTTAGAGCCAAAAAATGAAGACAAAAATAAAATAAACGAAATAAGTAAAAATATGTTATGCAGTATCAATGCTAAGACACTGGTGAGAACACTGGATTTTAAAGCTCACCCGATGAAATTTAAGCTTTGATCTTACAAACAAACAAAGAAAAGGTCCTTAATGACGTGATATAAATGTACCAACCAAGTTTATAATCTACTTTATTAATCAGAAAATTTGTAAAATTTCTGTCCTCACTGCAGCTATCTCACACCATTGGCGACCTTAATAAACAGTGCATTTCTGCATCATTTCGCATCATGGTGCCCGTTATACAGTACACTTATCTCCTCACTGGTGCCCGTAATATACTGCAGCTATCTGTCAACACTGGTGCCCGTAATACACTGCAGCTGTTTTGCATCACTAGTCCCGTAATAAACTGAGGCTATCTCGCATCGCTGGTCCCCGTAATAACACTGCAACTATCAAGCAAATATTGGGGCAGTAATACACTGCAGCTTTCTCAGATCACTGATGCCCGTAATACACTGCAGCTTTTTTGCATCACTTGTCCCCGTCATCAACTGCAGCTACCTTGCATCTCTGGAGCCCGTAATATACTGCAGCTATCTTGCAACACTTGATCCCGTAATACCCTGCACCCGCATTGGAGCCGGTAATACCGTTAGTTAATTACGGTGTTCGTTACGATGACGACAGTTCGAAAGCACAATGGTGACAGTATGACAGAACGATTGTAACAGTTTCACAGTACGATGGTGTCAATACGACAGTTTAACAGGTAAACACAACAGCACGATTGTGACAGTCGAGCGTACTGTAATTTTGTCCCCCATTGTACTGCCATACTGTCACCATCGTACTGACGTACTGTCGCCATCGTGTTGTTGCCTTCCCTCAACATGGCTTCCGAAACTTAAAATTAAACCGTCATTTAAAAAAAATCTCTTATAGAGATTATCTATCAAGTAACTCAAAAGATAGAAAAATGAAAATATGTCTGAATAAATAAGTTTTATGATAAAATGTACACCTGTGTTTTCATACTTATTTTTGAACAGATAGGTCTAATGTAAATTTTTTGTAATTGACTTATTTGTAAAATATTGTATTTTTATAAACGACCTGGGTTTTTTAATCAAACTACTCTCATAAATACATGAATTTTACATACGGAGATAAAAAATATTGTCTTTGCATTTGACGTAAAATTAAAAGAAAAAGCAAAAAATCAAGAACTTTGATATTGGTTCCAAAATGTTAAGCTAGTGTATGAAAAGGTGTTTGCCATAACGTACATTTAATACTTCTAACGGTCATTTCATAAAACCATTGCGACTTTTCTGTAACAACTTTCAAACATTTATCTGCAAGCACAGATGTTTCAATTTCAATATATGTCATGCTCACAGATGTGCAGGGCGGTTTTGCTTCAGAAATGTTTTTATTTTTGAGCATTTTGAGGCTGCGTTAGAATATCCTAATAGTAACTGCATTGGCCGATTTCCTGAACCATCTTTTGCTTCTATTGCCTTTTAATGATTAGAACAATTTAAATACTTAAGTATTTTGTATGGGAGTCAAAATACAACATTGTCATCATTGTGCTACTTTTCTGACAAATTATTTCCGTTTCGCATATTCAGCGCTACTTTCTTCAAGTGATAAGTACTTTAAATGCTTTAAAACAATTCTGCAACTTTATAAAACTCACAATTACCTGTTATAAAGAAGGAGAAATACTGTTTCTTGGGCATATTGTACATTTAAAGTGAATTGGCTTATATGGAAAGGACGAATGTAATGTCAGGAATAATGAATTTGATAGTATTATATATTTAGAACAAACCACGAGATTGTTTTATATGTTGCGAGACATGTTATACAATATTACATATATGTATATACATGTTGCAAATAATAAACTGTTCTAGAATAATATAATATTTTTTATCATATAAATGTTCATAATTAATCAATCACTTAGAAATGTATCATTTTCCATGCAATGTCCATATGAGATATACTTCTTTTAATTTTATCAATATTTAAAATCTTAATCTATCTACAAATGTATTTAAAATTACGATTATACCATCGGAAAAGGCTTAGAAGTCCGGTTACCCTGCGTTATATCTCAGATATAATTACCAGTAACAGTGTATTTATCGAAGAAACTTACTCGAGTAAAAATGACCTACTATGTGTATAACTACGATACCTAACTTATCACGTGGGTTGGTGTCAAGATTGATTTTTTTCCATATATTTATCATTTTATTTCATGTTGGTTTCAGCATCACGAATCTGATTAAATTCATTTTCATTTCAGTTTTGAGACATTTAGCTAATTTTTTGTTTGCACTTTATTTTACCTAGAAACGTCTATCTAGTATCAAGTTATAAGTATTTAAGTGCGTCATAAAAACACACTTTTCTCTTTTAATTTACTGCGACGTCAATTATATTGCGACGTCAAATATATTGCGACGTCACGTGAATTGTTTTCTATCAGGTTCGTGTCGTTGCTATATATATTGTGAGAAATAAAGAAACCTGATGGTTTTTTAAGTACATCAGGAAGAAAACATTTCCCAAATAAGGTTTCCTTTTCATTATTGTGATAGGGATTTTGCTGAAGGAGTTAAGCAAGTCTCCAGAGTTGAAACAAGTCCAATAGTGGAGAAAATCTAGACGCGAAGCAAGTTAGGAGCGCAGCCAGTCCAAAAGCGCAGCAAGTCCAAAAGCACGGCATGTCCTAAAACCAGCAAGTCCAAAAGCGCAGCATGGTTAAGAGCGAAGCAAGTCCAAAAGTGCAGCAAGTCTAGAAGCACAGCAAGTAAGGAACGCAGCATGTCAAAAAGCGCAGCAAGTCCAAACGCGTGGCAAATCTAAAAACACAGCAAGTCCGGGAGCGATGTAAGTCCAATAGTGCAGCAAGTGCAAAATGTCAGCTAGTCCAAAAAAGCAGCAAGTTCAAAAGTGCAGCAAGTCTAGGAGCAAAGCAAGTCCAAAAGCGCAGCATGTCTAGAAGCACAGCAATTCCAAAAGCACAGGAAACCCAGGAGTGCAGCAAGTCCTGAATGGCAGCAAGTACAGAAGCACATTGAAGGCGAAAATCCCTCTGTCTAGCAAGTCCTTTTCGTAAATAAGACAAAGTCACCTTAAGTACTGGACCAACCCAGACTAACGTCTTGCAACCTTGCAATTAGTTCAAAAGACACAAAGTAACTTGCTTAAATTGTTAAATTGCTTTCGGACACACGACTAGGGTCATAGCTCAAACAGTTTACACATTCATGCATGAAAACTGTTTAAAAATTAAGCACATCTTACTGCTGCGACAGAAATACTATTCAATTTACAGCAAATAAAAATATAGAAAATAAAGAAAACTTAACTAAAAAGGAGGAGCACGTCAAACGCAAACTCTAAACATATGTCTATAGGAGTAGCTCATAATATAGCTTACCAGAAGACAAATGAATCCCTTTCAATAAAAACACGATAACCAAGGATTGAAAAAAACACTCCATTATGATGTTATAGCATGTAAAATGAATTCAAATGAGGCTTCTAGCGAACAAAACCTTTTTTTATCGAAAAAAAAACTTGAACTTAGATTACGGAAAGAGTTCAACCGTTGAAAAAAATGAGGTTTTCTATTTCTTTCCAGAGAAAATGAATATTTGTTCAACAGGAATGCGGTGTGAAACTTCCTTGATACTAAATGATGTAAACCACACTAGTAGTTAAGAAATGAGGTCGCACAAAGATACCAGGACGTAAAAAAACATCCATAATGCAAAAAGTCCCCAATACGTAAAAAGACACTAATTATACAAAATACGTCCCGATTATAATGATACATAATAAGAACACCTGCTCGGTCGTATTTTCGAGTCATTATATGACAGTTTATATTGTAAAACTCCTTAATAAAAGGCATTGGGCAAATATTTCGGAACGAACTTTATGGGGTTTAAATCATACAGCAGTGCCGTGTGAAGATTTTCTATTTTAACCATGGAAAACTGATGTTTAGAATATCTCTTTTCAGCTGTCACATAAGAAAAATATCATCAGTCAGAGTTTTTGACTGAAATATAATACTAATTACCCACCATGGCATACTATTTAATCAATAAGGAAATGAAATCTATAATTCAAAACATATAATATTGTTTTAAAAGTGTATTATAAACTCATTTAAAGGTAAGAAACAAATCATATACCCTAGTTTTAAAACAATAGAGGAGCAATAAAAATGTAGGAGTGACAAGAGGGGTGTAAGGATGTAAATTAGGGAATGAGGAGTGTTAAGGAGGCAAAACAAGTCACTGTGGAGATAGAGATGAAATGCACATTTCCCAAATTTTTTGCTAGTCTGTTATGAACAATACAACATAGAGGTATTAAAAATAGCTGCACACATTGAAAAGCAGGATATACTATAATATGTATAGATTTAAAGACTTCAACTGTTTTTTACCAGTGAGTTCCAAAAAATAAATAAAAACGAAACCAGTTCATGGTTCATCGAGAAGATCTAAAAAAAATAGAAAAAGGAATAAGTAAGTACAATATTTAGTTGAGTGACATGGTTTTCAAAATCATTCAACATCTGCGTAGAGGTCGGTGAAGTAACAGATATTAGTGAAACATTTCTATAAATATTATGGATCGTTATATTTATGTTAAAAGTGACAGCAATGATAAGTACTTCACAGACAATAAAGTGTATCAATTCAAAGTACATTTGAATGCATCTTTGCCTTTGATAGGATTTTGGAAAATCGGATTGACAGAATTTTATGCTACCGACACAACCGCTGATAGATTAAAATCTAAAGGACTGAAAAAATGACAATCTCTACATATACACTGACATTTGTAAAGAAAGCATTGTGCATGACTCAAAACAATCATTGTTGAGACAGGTTTGCAAAAAATACTAAAACGGGCTGGAACTATCAGTTTAACAAAGTGCATTATTGACCCGCTAGAAAGAAGGATCTTCTGGAATTTACTGTGTATTTAAAATGCGAAGACAGGAGTAATCACTCATTCCTGTCTTCGCCATAGAATCGAAAACTTCATTTTCCTTTTGAACTCTGAGTACCTCATGCCACCTTATCATATACTCCTTTGAATTTGATATCCTCGTTATCTTAAGCGGTAGCTTGAAAGCCTTCAAATACGAAAAAAGGTGTACAGCCACACACAAGATCAAGTAGGTGTCTTTAATACGGGAATCAACAATCAGCTACAGATTTCAATGACAATATTTAACCCATTTATAACTTATAATGTAACAAATACCTGTCAAAGTTCAGTTTCAGATATGTAGCATCCTGGGTTTAATAGCCCTTTAACACTACAAGTTAAGTCGGTCATCTTTACAAAGGCATATAATTTTGATGACAGTTGTTACTATATAATACCAATTTAACTGTATGCAGATTGGCTCCATTCGTGTTAAAGGGACACCAATGAAGCGTTCTCTTTTTGTTTATGTAATGTGCTTATGATATGCATGGCACGACATCAAGGTCATGTTTGCTATCCTTCAGACTGCCTTTTGATATTTTGTTACAAATTAATACTCAAAAATTTGTTGATTTGTTGTATCAAATATGTAAAAAAAGTAACTAATAGTATACTGTACATGAACAGAAATGAAGACCTTTCAATAAAACATCATAACCAAGGTTTGAAAACCAGCCTCCGTTTTTTTTAGAATGTTAAATATACTGAAATGGAATCCTTAGAAAATAAAACCTTGTTTTACGAAACAATTTTAACTGACATATCGTGATTTCTACTTTACAACTTTTCAATTGCTAAGCAGAGTATAAACATATTTGATACAACAAATCAATTGAATTTTGTGTATAACTTTGTAACAACATATCACAAGGCAGTCTGAATGACAGCTAAATCCCCTTCCGCAGTGAACATGAATGTGCACTTCTTGACCTTTAATCAACCATGACATTTATGTTGTGCCATGCATATCATAAGCACATTGTCTCATGAAAGTGATTATGAGTGCTAATTTATTTAAATCCTTATATAAAGTCAAAAAGTTATTGGGGATATATAACCTTGACATTGGGGTAGCAACCTCGATGTTGAGCTCTGCAGATTGTGTCATGGTGGAGATCGTTTGTGCCAACTAATTTTGAAATGTTTGAATTGTCATTAAGTTGTACAGCTGACATGAAAAAATATATGTTTTTACATTGGACCATTGAGTGTGGCCCTGACCTTCAGGGTTGTGATTTGATTATTATGCTCTACCAATGATGTCATAATGGTAATCATTTTTGCCAAGTTATCTTGAAAATATTGCAGCGGTTTAAAAGTTATGGAGCGGACAATAAATGTAGACGTTTTATTATGAAATGAAGACTATTTAACATTTGACCTTTAAGTAGGACCTTAACCTTTGGGGATATCAATTCTTGTTCTTGAAATTCAATACTTTAGTAAGTCCTATATTATTTGTTAAATAGAAACGTGACATCTTTACAATTTGTGTATTTATATTGCAGTGATGATGTACAATGTACAAGTCCAATATAAAAAAAAATTGTTATGTTCTGTTCTGTACGATACCCAAATAGTCCTGTGGGTTGACCACCTTGCAATCAGTTCAAAAGACACCAAGCTAAAAAAGAAAAATCTTTCGGACGGAAAGAAAAACTATATCAATTAGTGAGAAAACTGAACTAAAAATGATGTGTACGTCATGCACAAACTCGACAAACAGGTTTTTAAGAGTAACCTATAAAGCTTACATGAACAGAAATGAAGACCATTCAATAATAACCAAGGTTTGAAAAACAGCCTCCATTATTTTTAGAATATTAAATACACAGAAATGGAACCCCTAGCAAACAAGACCTTGTTTAACGACAATTTTTTTTTAAAGACATATATGTTGAGCTAAAATGAATTATTGTATCTCTTTTCGTTTAATTTTCCCTGCATTAATAACTTGATTGTTGATTGCGTGTCACAATACTACATCACTTACAACGGAAAGAGTTCAACCGTTAAAACGATTTCGTAGTGGTTTTCTATTTCATTTAACAGAAATTAAATATGTTGTCAAACGGAATGTGGTGTCAAACATCCTTGATACTAAATTATGTATAACCGCACTATTTTACCCCATTCTTACACTGCGATTTTTTTTATAGAAAACCTTCTGTTGTTTGGACGGAGCGATATCAAAACCATAATCGGAACACACGGTACACATTCCATATATACTACATGTAATATTCTTGTAGATTGCCTAGCTACCGAGGATATAATTAACATATTAACAAGTAAAATGTTGATGCTGCACATCAAAGACGCCGCCAAATGATGTGAACAGTCACAGTATTGAAAATCGTTCTCTATTGCAGTTGAATATCCGAATCACTTATCATTTTTCCCCATGCATGTTCCATGCATGTTTCTTGGTATGTGTTCTTTGCTCAATAATCAAGTTGTATTTTTTGTGAAAAAGTAGCACCTAATGCATAAATTCACAAAAAAGCCATGTCTGCAATTCTAAAATGTTTTTTCTGTTTCTACAAAGATTGAAACGTTTGGTCGGAGCAAAATAAATGGGATAAATGATTGGTATACTTCAAAAACATTCAAGTCAATATGCGCCGAGAATATGACAAACGATTTTGAGGACGACCTGTTCTGTTATTTTTACAAATAGCAAAAATGTGTCTTTAATATCAAATAAAAGTTATGAATAAATTGTTAAGTATACTAGTAATCAATTATTAGTTACGATTTGTTTACCTATTTATTAAAGATTACACCACTCGATTAAACTCAAGATTGTATATTTGCCAGGAATCTCGGTATAGAACCAATAAATGTAATAAAAATCTAGGGAAAAGAGAACAATCGTCAGTCACGGAATCCTTCAAAATAACCTATATATTCGTGATACATCTTAAAATGAACGATCTATTTTCACTCAGTTAATCTGTTTTATAACTTAAATGTTAATTATTTTCATGTAGCACACGTGTCGCAGTTTTGCAAAACATATGTCCGCTGTGGCCGTAGAGCTTATAAATCTCAGTTGCGTATTTTAGTCATATCAATGCCCGAATTTGATTCACGTCATTAGACTATAGATGGGTTTGCGTTGTGGGAGAACCGCCGCATTGATAGTGGGCGCGGTTTAGGCTTTGTAACTTGTAATTTAATGATTTGTCAAGTGAACTTGATCATATTTGTCAGCTTCTCTTCCCTCCGTCAACGAAGAGTAAATGCTAGCATACAGAGCATCATATAAAATTTGGCGACAATTAAGGGCAGAGCCGTATTTCAACAGTGGGGTCATCTACTAATCATGACTAACCTCCATACCATTGACTATTGGTCAAAGGTTTCTTAAGTAATTGGGCAGACCAGCTTTATATAGTCAAGACCCCTGTGACCTTGACCTTGACCCAATGACCTCAAAATCAATTGGGATCATCTAATGGTCATGATCAACCTCCATCCCAAATAAGAAGACTGTGGGTTAAAAGTTTCTGAAGTAATTGGGCGGACAAACTTTTTGAAGTCAAAATTCCTGTTACCTTTACCTTATACACA